GGGAGAGGAGGGACGTACATCTCTGCATAGGAGGACATGGCGATATCGACCACTCTCAATCCTCACTTGGACTTATACCCTTTCCTTCACTCATTCTTCATCCCATTTCCGTCGATCGTTCATCTTCACCCAGTTGACGCTATTCGGGCACATCATCATCATCACGTAGTACAGACAGAAGATGGCCGATTCCCTCACAGATGTGGCTAGAAACGGAATCATCTCCACGTGCACTAAACGCCCATTCCCCCCCTCCTGTCCCTGTCCCTTCCCTTCCCCTCACTCTCGCTCTCCCCCCTCGCAATATACCCACTCCCTCCTATGCCCCTCCTTGAATCCCTCAAACCATACACAACTCTGCTCCTCCTCTTCCTCCCTCTTCTCCTCCAATCCCTGCCCAAACTCCGCTCTCTCCAGCGCACCCCCGCACCTCCCCTCCCACAGCGAGCAAGTCAGGCACTCACTCTCCTTTTCCTACTTCACACAGTGCAGCACTCCCTCCTCCTGCTCTTCTCCCGCCCTGCAAATATCTTTACTTTCCTCCACGCGCCCCTCTCCGCCCCAGTCTCATCCCTCCAAACAATCCTCCATCTCGCGCCTTCCAGCTGCCCTCCGAGCATCGCCACTCCCCACATCCTCCGCTTACTCCAGTCCCTCCCCCTACGAGACACCTACGTGCGGTACGGCCACTCCTCTCTCTCCTGCACCTTCTGCACCTCCGAACCGGGGTATGCGCTCTACGCCCTCTCGGCTCGCGCACTGGGGTACGCAACGGAATGCGCCTGGTGGATGGTTTTGTGCTCATCTTGGTTTGGGAGAGAGAGCTGGAGAGGTTGGCTCCTCGGCTTGCTGGGACTGATGTTGGTGGGCGAGAGCTGGGTGCTCAAGCATGTGCAGATCGATATTGACGCTAGTGAGGGTGGGGGGTATATGGTACGCCCTCTGTGTCTCTACACCATCTACCTGCTCGGCTAACGGGGAAAAGTGGCACGACAACCTCTGGTTCCTCCGGGAAACACTCTTCCTCCTCCTCCCCTCCCTGCTCCCCCTCCTCCCGCGCTCCCACCCCAAGATCCCGCCCCTCCTCCCACTCCTACCCAGACTCCACCTCCTAGGTGAAAAACTCTCGTTCCTCCGGCTGGAGCAGCTGGCGATCCCTAGGTCTCGAAGTCTAAGGCGGGCGCTGGGGGAGAGGTGGGAGGAAGAGGAGGGGTTGAGGACCCGGGTGGGGGAGGATGGGGAGCTGAGGAGGAGGGCGGGGGAGTTGGGCTTGGGGGAGGGGTTGGGCTGGGGCTTGCAGGGGGGAGCGGAGGGGCTGGGGCTGGGACAGGGGAAGGGGAAGGGGTGGGAATGGGCAAAGGAGGGCGTGAGAAGACTTTGGGCTGTTGTGGGGCTGCAGCGGCCGACCGAGCTGGAGCTGGAGGGGATGGGGATGGGGATGGGGATGGGGGTAGGGGTGGATGAGGAGGACGATCGGGGGGAGGTGGGGGAGCGAGCGATGAAGGAGAAGGAGAAGCACGTACACGAGGAGCAGGAGTTGAGGCAGAGGCAGAGGCAGAGGGAGTCGGCCCGCAGGAGATGACTAATAGTACTCTCGAGTGGTTCGTACTGTAGCTGTAACTATTACAGAAGGTACAGAAGGTGTGTGATTGTTGAGCAGATGGGATGGGGTGGAATCGGGAGATGGGAGATGGAAGACGGAGATAGGGGGAAGATAGGAGAAGGGAAATGCACCTTCTATTCCCAGTGGATCACCACCAAACCCCCAGCAGCTCACAGCCCACATGCTTCCCTAACTGCTGCTGATCAGAAGGTCGATATTATGCCAGCACTCTGCAGAGGAAGGGATGAAGAAGTAAATCTGAGGTATATAAGTAGTGGATGACGCTGACATCGTGTCATGATGAAAGAAGAAGTCTTTGTTGATCGGCTATCGGCGGACATCTGCTCACTCGTACTAGTACTGTGTAGTGGTGGACGTCTTCCTTTACTTGCTTCTGCTCACTCTATTACTGTCCTGACTGTCATTTACGGTTATTTACGGACTTTTGTCCCCCTGATCTGTCCTCACGTACGCCCTCTACCCTCATCCCTGACCTGTCTGGATCCAAAGTCAAAGTTCGATCGATGATGACCTGAACTGGCAAGAAGTGAGATGGAGATCGACGATGGGCCTATGTCTGTATTCTGGGATGCTGGATCGGCGGTGACCATTCTGGGGGTATATGTATCCCTCCTGCTCCCCCCCCTCCCACCTCCCGCGCCCCACGCCCCCACCCAGTAAACACCCATGTCCCAGCCCAAACGAGTCCTCATCATCGGCGCCGGCGTAGGAGGATGCGCGACCGCAGCACGCCTCGCCCTCGCAGGGCTGGAAGTGACAGTGCTCGAGAAGAACGAGTTTACAGGTGGGAGGTGTTCGTTGATCTATCATGGGGAGCACGTGAGTCCCTCCCTCTGTCCCCCGTCCGCGTGCTGCCAGGTCGGTCGAGCTGACGTGTGTCGCGTAATGAGAGGTTCGACCGCGGCCCCTCGCTCCTCCTCCTCCCTCCCCTCTTCCACCAAACCTTCACCGACCTCCACACAACCCTCGAAGCCGAGGGCGTCGAGCTCCGGAAATGCGAGTTGAACTATGCGGTGCATTTTGGGGATGGGGAACGGGTGAGCATGGGCAGCGATTTGGGGGGGATGAAGTTGGAGATTGAGAGGTTTGAGGGTGAGGGGGGGTTTTATCGGTGAGTCGGGCGCGTACCCTTCGTACGGGCAAAGGTAGTTGTAGGATGGGATAGGACGGCTCGCTGACTCCCCCCCCCTCCCCCCCCCCAGGTACCTCGGTTTCCTCAGAGAAGCGCACAAGCACTACGAGCTCTCGGTCAAGCATGTCCTCAACCTCGACTTCCCTTCCTTGCTATCGATGTTCCGGCCCGCCTTCCTCAGGCACATCTTCGAGCTTCATCCGTTCGAGTCTGTCGTATGTCCTCCTCCTCCTTTCCCCCTGGTGATCAGCTTACATCATGATGGGCTAGTACGCTAGGGCCTGTAGGTACTTTACCACTGAGCGCATGAGGCGGCTTTTCACGTTCGCGTCGATGTACATGGGGGTAGGCGCTTCCTACTGCTCATGTAGGCGCTGGGCGCTAACGACCCCAACCCCAGATGAGCCCCTTCGAAGCCCCCGGCATCTACTCCCTGCTACAATACACCGAGCTCGCGCAAGGTATCTGGTACCCCATAGGCGGGTTTCACAAGATCGTCTCCGCCCTCATAGGCATCGCGGAGCGGCACGGCGCCGTCTTCCGCCTCTCTACACCGGTGGAACGGATCCTCCTCTCGGCGGACGGCAGGCGCGCAGTGGGGGTGCGCACTGCTGCCGGGGAAGAACTGTTCGCCGACGTGCTGGTGGTCAACGCCGACCTTGTATGGGCTTACGAGCACCTTCTCCCCCCAACAGCGTACAGCGCCTCGTTGGGCAAACGGAACGCCTCATGCAGCAGCCTAAGCTTCTACTGGTCTCTATCGCAGAAAGCCCCCCAGCTACAGACACACAACGTCTTCCTGGCAAACGACTTCCAGCAGTCGTTCGATAGCATCTTTAAGCATAATTCCCTGCCTAGGGAACCGAGTTTCTACATCCACGTCCCTTCCCGGCTGGACCCCTCAGCTGCGCCAGAGGGAGGGGACAGCGTGGTCGTTCTTGTCCCTACTGGTCATCTGAAGCCGCACCCGCACCCGCAGGTGGGGCTGGGAAAAGGACTCCTGGATTTAGCTAGGGGGGAGTGGGACGAGCCGGAGACGGTGGGTGAACAGGTTGAGAGAGCGAGGAGGGAGGTGATCACCAGGCTGGAACGGGCGGGGATGGAGGGGTTTGGAGAATGGATTACCCATGAGGAGGTCGCTACTCCTCTTACCTGTGCGTCCCATGCACTCCCCCGCCTGCCCGCTAACAGCTGATCCTCACAGGGAAACAAACGTTCAACCTAGACAAAGGGGCTATCCTAGGCCTCGCCCACGATTTCCTGAACGTACTCTCCTTCCGTCCCCGGATAAAGCATCCTACGATCCAAGGGTGTTATTTCGTAGGCGCCAGTACGCATCCAGGGACGGGAGTGCCGATCATTCTTGCGGGAGCGAGGCTGACGGCTACGAATGTGTTAAGGGATTTGGGCTTGGGGGTGCCTCGGGCTGAGGGGGAGGGGCAGGGGGAGGGAAAGGGAAAGACGAAGCCGAAGAAAGAGAAAGAGCTGGACATGAGGCTCAAGCTCAAACGCGACTGGGACACACTTTCCCTTCTCCAACTCCTCTTCTTCCTCTTCCTCACTTGGACGCTCTCCCGCCACCTGTCCACTCTTGACCAACTACAGGAAGTCACCGCTTGGTTGCAGGGGACATACGGGGCCGTTCTGGCCAGAGTGGGGAACGGGACTGCTTACTTTGACAGGAGGGTTTCGGCCGTGTTTACGAGCCGTACTTTGCGCGGGGCGATGTATTAGACTTGACTAGCCTGGGGTGGGCTAGGGTTGTTGATACAGTACAAGTAGTTAGACTGAGGTTAAATGATACATTGTTTGATGCTCCTACTCCCTCGCTCGCTCACTCCCACCGCTCCGCTTCAACCCTCCTCCATCGTCACCTCATTCCCGCTCGCCAGGTTGATCTGAGCCGCCCGGGCTCTCAACAGCCTATTGGAGAGGATGAGCAACTCCTCCGCATGCCGCATCCTAACGCACCTCTCGAAGACGTCTAGCCTGCTCTCGCTCTCCCCTTCGAGGGGCATATTGGGAACCCAGCAAGCGAGCGGGGTGGACCCGCTTTGATAGGTAGAGGATTTGAGGTAGAGGAGAAGGCCGTCGCTTGCGCAGTGTGTTTCTCGCGTGCTTGTGCTTTGTACCGTGTTGCTTACGAGTGCGGGCGCGGGAGTTGAGTCAGCGTTGGGGATCGCACGCCCGTATTCGTCCACCGGCATCGTATCCCCCACTGCACCCATAGGCAGGGGCGCAAGGAGCGGGATCATGCGCCCGACTTTCGCCGGAGGGAGTACGTTCATGAGGAGCACTGCTGGTGTGAGTGGAGGGAGGAAGAACGGGACTGGCTGGAGGATGTATGGTTGTTTGTATGGCGGGTCTGATGGTGGGGCGTGTACCGCTAGCTCGGCGATCCGGCACTGGAGGAACCAGAAGCGGAATTCGGCTTCGCATGTTGAGAGATCTTGGGAGCGCCAGCGCATCACATCCAGTACGTGTAGGAGCCCGGTGTCCTGCCATTTGGAATCGAGGATACAGTCGAGGATCGTATCGGGCGGCAGGTGGGAGGCGTACCGGAGGAAGAGGTGGCCTGAGAGTCGGGAATGGAGTGCGGTGACCACTGTTCATGTCATGCGTGCTGGTCAGCCACGGAGATATGCAGGAGGAAAACGGGAACGGCGTACCAACGCCATTGTCGAGAGCGTAGGAGACGGCCATACACCTCTTCCCTATAGGCACAGGAGCGAGGGCGACCCACCCCTCCTCCATATCCTCCGGCAGTCCATCTTCGCCCATCACCACATCCTGCACCGTAAGCCCAGTAACGAGCGGTGCGTTATCCACCACCACTTCCCGGTCTACCTCCATCCTCGGGCCCGACCCGCCCAGCTCGAGCACCTCAGCATACATGAGCTTGTTGGCCCATCGTTGTTCGGACTTGCGCGGTTTCTGAGGCTTCTTGAGCGTGAATAGGGACTGGGTGTGGGTGGGTGAGGAAGGGGGAAACTCGGCTGGAGGGGAGATGGGTGCGTCGGTCGAGGGGAAGAACTGGACTGGAGAAGAGGGTGAAGGTGGGGAAGAGTCGGATTCTGGTGTGAGTGGGGCGAGGGAGGCGAAGTATGTCGATCCTCGTGAGATTGCGATCACTTTCTCTCGCCGCTGTAGCGTTGTCAGTACAAGACCTCGTCACCGAGATCATAGACGGGAATTCATCCAAACTTGTGGGCACACCTTCTGCTGCTGCTCTAACGCCGCCAGCCTCCTCGCCTCCTGAGCGTCCCCCGCTCTGGCCAGAGGAGGCAGCTTGAAGCTCGCACGCCTATTATTCGGGTCCTTATGGTTCAACATGTCCGTTCATGCAGAGTATTTACTTGATCGTATTCAGCAGAGTGTATGAAGTGAGCAGTTAGAGTAAAAGTACTGTTGAGCGCCTCTCTAATGTTTGTCGGATCTTGATACTTTACTGGGCGTGGGCGGCGGGCATGAGCGGGAGCATTTCATTTGAGCACACGAGGGGGCGGCGGGGGGACAAGCCATTCCTCCGCAACTGGCATGCACAACCACCATGCTCACATGAGAACCATTTCGTCGTTGTAACGTTCATTTATTATCATGACATACGTAAAGAAATCTGTCCCAGACTAGCAAGAAACCTCCCTCACCAGATATATCGGAAAGCAGGGTGATTATCCCCCAGTTCCATAATCTGATGCGGGGCCAACCCCTCCAGTCCAAACTTCTTCAGCAGCACAGGGTCACTCGCCCTCAGCGGGGAACACTCGCTCCCATCCGCGGCGGGCACACCCCACTTCTCGTCCCGCTGCTTGTTGGTGCGGTAGTTGTGGATGCTGATGATCAGAGCGCAGACGATGGCCATCGCACTGAAGGCGAGAGCGATGCTGTGCCCTTCGATGAACCGTGGGGAACTGGGGGTGGGGTAGACGTTAGAGGCGACGAGACCGCCGGAATTGCCGATCGTGAAGAAGAAACCCATGGCTGCGGCGCGCTTGTACTATCTCCATTTGTCAGCCACCGGGATATTCTTATTTCCTGGGAGACTCACAGTAGGCCCCACGTTATTCCCGATGAACGTGATGCAGCTGGCGATGCATGGCGAATCCCCAGCTACAGCCAAGAACAGCGCGAAATACTTGACGCCAACGCTGACATCACACAGAAGGATGATATACGCAATAATGACAATCGTCATCCATACGACGATGAAGGGCCCGCGTACGAGCACGCGGTCGGACCAGTAGGCTGTCGCTAGTGTTGTGAGGAAGCCGACGACGTACGGAGGGATGGTCATGAGCTATCGCAGGGTCAGCAGGGATGGAAGAGATAAAGTAGAGGACTAACGTTAGCATTGGCATTTGAGAACCCGAGACCGGTAATGACTGCGGGTGTAAAGAGTGCAAGCGAATAGAACGGCTCTGCAATGCCGATGTACATCCTGTTTCTCATCAGCACCCACCCCACCCACATCTAAATCCAGCACACTCACAGCGCATATACGTAGGTCTTCCAATCCGTGAACGCATCCTTGACCTGCTTCCACGAGAATGGCAGCTGGGCATTAGTGACTCCCTGCGAGCTGCTGAGCCTGTGCAGCCAGCGGGCACGATCATGCGGCGAGAGGAGCTTGCTGTCGTCCGGGAAGTCCTGGACGAGCCAGAAGGCAGGGACGGCGCAGACGAACGTGAGGAGACCCTCGAGGATGAAGATCCATGCCCAGCCGCCTTTGTTCCCCAAGCCGTCCATGTGCCGGATGCCGAAGGCGAGGAGTCCACCCCAGGCGCCGGCGAGTGTGGCACCTGCGAAGAAGGTGGAGATTCGCATGCTGTGCTGAATGTCAGCGAGATTCTTCGTGAGACAGGGGTGGACTCACTTCTGCTCCTCTCGAGTGTACCACGTCGTGAGCATGTAGTTGATACCCGGGAACAGTCCTCCCTCTGCCAAACCGAGGAAGAACCGGACCGCCTGCAAGCCGGCAGCGTTATGCACCAGCCCCATGCAGATCATAATAATGCTCCAAGTGACCATAATGAAGAAGATCCAGCGATGAGGTTGGAGCCTCTTGAGGAGGAGGTTGGAAGGCACTTCGACGGCGACGTACGATCTGGGTGAGGTCAGCGAGGGAATGACAGATCGGAAAAGAACGTACACGAAGAATACCGACAGGGCAACTGCGTACTCATTACCGACGAGGTTGAGGTCGGTGTTCAGACCAGCGGTGGCAGCTTGACCGATGTTGACGCGATCTATCTTTTTCTCAGTCTCAGATCCCACGTATTAAGGGTTGATCACTGACCAAGGAAGCTGAGCAGGTAGAGGAGGGAGACGTAGGGCACGATAGCCCAGTCGATCTTCCACCTGAGCCTGCGAACTTCCGCATCGCTCAACGCGAGTGCGCTCTCATGCAGCCCCTTGCCCACACTCGTAAGCAGCTGGTTGTCGTCCCCATGGACGGCAGCCATCATGGCCAGATCGGCATCGGCGTCGTAGGCTTGCTCCAGCTCGGCTTTCTCAGCTTCGACATCGGCATATGTGGTGGGGGCATCGACACTTTTGGGCTCGTTGACAGAGGCCATCTTGTAGAGAAGGATTGGCTATGGGGGAAGAGCACCAGAAGGGAACAGAAGGAGACGCGCAAACCAGAGCACGCGGACTCCAGGCACGGGCTTTTATCGCTTGTCCGCAGGCGAAGTTCTTTTTACAGCCAAAGCTTGACTCGAAGTCCGAAGACTTGTGCGCTGATTGGGCGTGAGAATCTTCCCGTTAGGTTTAGTCGGGACAAGCGCCGATGAACTTCTCAGACATTTCCATTTCCGCCATGTACGGATGTGGGGAAGAAGCGAGCACAGAGCAGCCTTTGTGCGGGGAGAGCACCTGCAACCATTCATCAACCCGGACACATCCCCTGTTGCCGGTCAATGGTCGGCAGGTGAAAAATGCCGACCGAAAACCCTGACCCTTTTTGCATGAGGCAGACAAAGGACATCAGCGTCATCTGCCCCAGATGTATCCCGATCCGCTCACTTTTATCCACTCTCGTGTCCCCTGCTCCGACCGCGCCTCAACAACTCTCATTCAATTCGGACAGTTCCATGCGGGGGTATGGTCATGGACCGCTGCTCGTTCAACACCATTTCGGCACGAGGTGTCACGGCTCCGCATTCCCTTCGCTTCCGAATCTTTCGGCACCGGGGGCATCTGCTCAGCCACATACCCCATGACGTAAACTCTACTTTGCATCTTCCCCTTCCGCATTGCATGTCTTTTACAAAGGGTTTTTCCACTCGTCCCTCCCAATGGTCTCTCACCAATCTCTGTAGTGGGGCCAACCGACAAACATATATCCTCCTTTGGGTGTTTCGGCTGAATCGGACTACTCTACTAAAGCTTTAACCCTCTGGTTGTGCCTGAAAACCTCAGTAGCACTCATCAACCACTGCAAACAAAAAAGGGTTTTTTTTTTCATACCTCCCGGGAGTACACAGGGCACTGTAATCCAGTGCACTGAGTACTCCTGCATATTGATTATCAATACAAAGTCCCTGTTGGACAATGTATTGACTATCAATAGGAAAAAGCAACTTTCAATACCCATTTTGTAGTACAAGTAGGTACTTTTTAATAATAGATTAGATTAAAAAAACAATACAATTTAAATAATTGAAAAGAACATCCTTCCTGCTGAAAGGACATGCTCTAGAGTACTGATAAACACACTGTCAGACATTGTTATATGTGTAACAATGCATTTCATTTCATTGGGTATGGTACAGTATTTCTGAAACTTAGCCAGTCCTTTCCAGTGTCTATTGTTCCTCCTTGACCTCCAGCTCCAGCCCCAGCTCCACTTGCTCCTGCTCAACCTCCTTCGCCTTTGCCTTTGGCTTCCTCTTCTTCCCCTTTGCATCATCTTGTGCCTTACTCTGGTGATTCCTCAACGTCTGCTTGATCAGCTCCTTGGTTGCCCATCCATCAGTGTACCTTTCAAGGTAGGGACACTTCTCACAGATCTGCAAGGTAAGTTAGTAGGAACACAAATGCTGGGAGAACACTCACTTGTTTGTAGACAATCCCAAGCCTTTCCTGAGTGTCAGGGCACTGCCTGTTACCACCCCTGGCCACCCATTTTGCCCTAGGAGCAATGAAACAACAAGCCCCTGGAACTTCCTGTGCTGGTAACTGCCTTAGGACAATGGCAGTGGCCATTGTGCAGAGGACACCACAAGACTGCTGTGACCAGACACTTGGGGTGAGACATAGCAGTGCTAAAGGCCCCTACTGGGAGTAGTGGGATGCAAGATGACACTTGTAGGAGTCTCCACAATTTATTGGAAAGGTTTGGGAGGCCTAGGGGTGTTGCTAAGACATCTATCTGACACTTGTAGGAGTCCCCAGAATTTACCTGGACTCCTGGGCTTCTGGTGAACACCTACAAGGTATATAAACAGTAGTACAGTGATGCTGAGTTCCCTCAGATTTGATCTCTGAGGAAACTCCTTAGTCTACAAGCAGTTTCTAAGTCATCTTGAACCCCCTTCTACACATGCCTGATGTTA